TGACTCTGCGACCCCATGGACTGTGGCCCACCACGCTCCTCTGTCCATAGGATATTCTAGGCAAGAATACGGGAGTGGTTGCCATTTCCTCCTTCAGGGGATCTTTCCAACCCACGGATCAAATCGACATCTCTTGCACTGCAGGCGCGTTCTTTACCACTGAGCCATCTGCAAAGCCCCAGAAGCTGTGTACATCTAAATGTAAAACAGAACTCTGCACTCCACAGACGCCGTTCGACGGTCTGCTCACAACCTCTCTCGGCGAAGGACAAGCTGAGAAGCATAAAGAGGTCAAGGAGACAGTGGCCAGTAAGTAAACTGTTTTGGAGGATTCAAAGTCATCTGACACTACAACTCAAAAACAAACTCTCTAACTTAAAGCATCCAGACTCTTTTTTCTGAGTGAGCCACTCTCAAAATATCTAACAACTTCCTCATGTTAAAGATGCGGGGTTATGGACATTTTCACAAAGGTTTCTTCTTACACAGCAAAACAAGAAATGGCATGAGAAATCCAGGCAGAAAAAGGGAAAAACATTAAGACTTCTGCATTCTTTTCAGAATATATTTATAATTACGATCTATCTACTGAATGGTTTTAGGATGCTGATAAAATAACTTTTTCTTAGTGCTTTCCAACTTCTTCTCTTAGCAAATACTGATAGCAGCATCCTCTAAATTTAAGCTGAATAAAGACATTTAAAAATTCTTGCACATGGTGTTTCAAGCATTCATAAACGTTTTAAAACTGAAACATTCAAATATTGGGGGGCTTTGAAAGCAATCCTATCTATCACTTCGTGAAACGAAAGGAAGAATTATCCTATTTAAAATTCCTTCTATTATTTCCTTGTACCTTTGTAAAAAGGGTGTTAGAACTAAGGGTTCAAGCGAGTTCATTAAAATATTTCAGGTCTGTTTCACCTTCCAGAGTTCCTTAGCTGTGTCAAGACCTCTAGTGTCCCTGTAGTCTTCCCTTCCTCCTGTCTGCACATTTTATCACTCACTCTCTCTTCCTTAAAATGTAGGGCCCAGAAGTAATGTAACTGCTGTGAATGAAATACTTTTCTGAAGAGATGATTCCATCAAATCATGGCTTACATTGAATTTGTAATGAACTAAAGCCCCCCAGGTCTTTCGCAGAAACCACAACCAAATTAGGGCTTATCCAATAAACTTCTTCCCAGCCACTCTTCTGACCTGAAATGCAGGGCTGTATTATTGTTCCTGTTTATTCAATCTCGTCTAGTTGGGTTTGCTTGGCATGCCAATAAAATTCTATTTGAACTAGGTCCACCTAGTGCCTGAGAGAACTCATTTTTCAAGACTAACTCTCTTTTGGGATGATTCACTCTAAGTTAAGAAATAGTTTAGGAACAGAAAAAATTAAGCAGGACTTTTCAGTCTTAGGAAGAGTGGGAAAAAGTTGGAAGGAGTTAGTCACGGAGCTTAAATTTTTCATATTGATCTGGATGAGCTCGTTTTTAAAGCTCACACAATTTCTCATTCACAACTAAAATAATGCAATATTTAAAAAATATATTTGTGAAAATGACACACATAATTGAATGACAGTCACCAACATATATGCAACATTTACTGGACAAGCTATGAGCTCAACTTTGTTACCATTATCTCAGTTAAACACCACAAACATCCTAGAAGGGAGGTAGTATTTACATCTTTTTACCGAAAAGAGAGGGGAAAAAAAAAAGCTTAGAGAAGCTACTCAAAGACTTGACAGTGTGCAAAGTTTTGTTGGTTTTAATTAATAAAAGCTGTGCAAGCATTTTTGTGATAGTTTACTAAAAGTGGGGAAAAATATAAATAGAAACTGGAGATAATTGTTTTCTGATGACTGCATAAGCATTTGCTTCAAGTAATTTTGCCTAATTTAGTATACTATCACAATTACAAGACAGTCACCAAAAATCTGAATATACTATTTATTTAGAATGGATATGATTGAAATAGATATCCAGTATTGGGATAATCTAAAACAAAGACATTCCCTTAATAAGAAAATTACAAGTAACTGATTCCTTATTGTCAGGAACTCATTTAATTCTGGCTCATCTTTCATTTTGATTCTTTGTCCAATTAAAATGGAGCCATTAATTATCCATTTAGCTCAGTCTTTAAAGGGGTTATTTCTCTCTTGAGTTCTTTAGGTTTTTTTTTGTATAGAACCAAAATGTGGATCTTCCAAAAACCCATATAAATCATGAATCAGAGTAAAAGGAAAACAAATTATTAATACCCTCTCCAATAAATATAATTGAAATGCACTGATTTAAGTATTCTGCATCTCTGAAATACATATAGAATCTAAAGTAATGAAAACTCTCAACACACGCAGAGCATTACCTAAAGTCAGAGAATGAACAGCTAATAATCAAGTGGAGAAGGTGAGTTAAGAGCGCCACTCCTGTTTTAAAGCTGTCTGCTCTTCAGATAATACCCAGAGTGGAAGAACAAACTGGAAAAAGGTAGCTGACACCTGTGGTTATACAATGCTAAAGTATAGACGGCCACAGACCTTCCTATGGAGAAAGGTAGGCAATCTTCCTCCCAGGGCTGGCATCAAGGATACAGGGACTGTGTAGTCACAAGAGGCCCATGGCCAGGAGGGCTCCAGGCTCAGAAGGAAGGGCTTCTTATTCTGCCCTAGCCAGGAGGGCTCCAGGCTCAGAAGGAAGGGCTTCCTAGGGCTTCCCTAGCCAGGAACCTCAGTCATTCTCTTCCTCTCTTCCCACATCCAGTCATCCCCAAGTTATGCTGACTCTGTATTCTAATTTCTTCTTTTCCATTTAAACTTACCACTGTCTTCTCCCAGACTTAAGTAGCAGCCTCCTATGTGGCCTCCCTCCTTTGAATCTATCTAAAAACTATCCTCTAAGTTGAATGGTCTTTCTAAATGGCGTATCTGATCCTGCATAAAATCACCGATCTCCTGAAAATAATCCCATGGCAGCGCACTGATTTGAGCAAGAGTGAGCCTATTATTTCCTGGGCTCAGCACCTGAACTTCTTTCAGCAATATTATGGCTCTCCTTCCTGGGATTCTCCTACTGTTACCACCTGCAACGGTACCCGTCCCATAGCTGGCACCTGACCCAAGCTGGGCAAATCGGAGCATTCTTCTGGGAGTTTGCCAGGGTGGAGGAAGCTGCAAGATGTCAAGATCCAAAAGCCTGTCAACATCCATGATTCCTGCCAAAGTAGGGAAGGCTGCCAACAGCCAAAGTCAGTAATAAAAAATGGAGGGTCTTGGCACTTTGAGTTTCTGGTTCAGCCGACACCTCTACGTTTCTGTTTTAACTCTGGTTTGGACTGTCTCAGCCAATAAACTCCTCTTTTTGTCCAAGTGAGCCGAAGCTCTGTTTCTGTCCTTTGCTGTTACACACGACAAGGCACTTGATTTCACACAATTTCTCATTCACAACTAAAATAATGCAATATTTAAAAAATATATTTGTGAAAATGACACACATAATTGAATGACAGTCACCAACATATATGCAACATTTACTGGACAAGCCACCAACCAACTGGTTCCTAAACAACAATTTCGCTGTTGTTGTTTAGTCGCTCAGTCGTGTCTCTTTTGAGACCCCACGAACTGTAGCCCGCCAGGCTCCTCTGTCCATGGAATTCTCCAGGCAAGAATACTGGAGTGGGTTGCCATTCCCTTCTTGACCCAGAGATCGAACCCAAAATGCTTAAATTATTCCACAAATTCAACCTGCTGGGTCAGAGCCCTTCCTCTGCACACACAAGTCTCTTTAAACCTCCAGCTCCAACTCTGAGGTCACCTTCTCAGTGAAATCTTTCCTGATTCCCCTGCTGAGTCAGGCACCCATGTCTTGCTTTCCAGTAAACTATATGTAAGTTCTAGCTCTTATCATAACCGACTGTAACTGCCCTTATGGGTGACCAATTTGCCCTAATAATGGCAGAGGACAGAGGTAAGTACTTCAGACTCTGGAACCCAACTGCCAAGCTTCCCAGTGAATAGCAGCAATTTAGTAGATTCCATGCCTCAATTTCTCATCCATAAATGAGAGAACAGCGTCTACTTTATAGGACGTCTGGGAAATGAGGTGATAAGAACTTACAACAGTGCCCAATAACTGTTAGCTATACCATCAGGATCCTTGATGGCAAAAACTGAAGTTATTTTTGCATTTCCAACACAAATGGCGCAAAGTCTCTTCCAAGCAATGACTCAACTATTTGTTTGCTTGGCTTCTAAACAGCAAGCCAAAGGAAGGCGGGATATGAAGGCCCTGCATCTAACAAGTGTCACAGAGGAAGTCATACACAGGTGCAGACCCAGAGTTCGCCAAGGGTAAAGGAAGCGGGGTCGCCCTGACCCCTTGCAGGCAGCTGCTCACCTCGTACACAGAGGAAACGCTCAAGAATGCCCCGCTTTCCGATAACCTAGGCTTCCCCCTTTTGCAGAAACAGTTCACTGATTTCACCGGAGCTCCTAATTATCACTACACTGAGCTTTTAGAAAAACGTTTCCTGGGAAATCTCTTTAAGCAGGCGGAGATAAAGAAGGAACTGAGGTCTTCCAAGAGACCTACTGCCTGACAGACGGACTCGAGAGTACGTGCCTCGAACCACTTGCAGACTCGCACGTAAGACGGCCACTTAACTGCCTTTCAATAATTCTCAGCGGGCGAAAGAAGGTCTAAGGATTCGAGGCCACGGTGTGCCACTGCTCACCAGGTAACTCACTTATTTAGAAACGAATTAAGAGAACGCGTTTTGTTTCGGCAACCGCGGAAGAGGCCAGAAAAAGGGAACTGAAGGCTGCAAACCGCGGAGACTCGGCGTCACCTTCCCGGCGGCCGCCCCCTTAGGACCCGAAGCCGCCCGGCGTCGAGGACCGACGTGGGCGCGGCCCCCACCCCGGGCGGGGCTTCCTGGCCGGTGGGGCTCCCTCCTTCCCCGTCCCCACCCGCCTGCGGCCCTGCCGCGAGCGACAGTACCCGAGGATAGCTCCGGATTCGCGGCGCTCATCTCAGCCCAGCTTCTGGCCAGCAAGACAGGGACGAGGAAAGAGAGGAGAGCCATGCTGCTCGGGACTAACGCGGGTGCTGCCCAGCACCACCGCGGGTATACACCCGCGCGGACCTCGGGCTGAGGTCTTGCGTCACTTCCTCCTCCGCGGACCATCCCTCCAGCGGGAGGCGGGGCGTGGACGGGAAAGTGGGGCGCGGACAGCGAGGCCGAGACCAGGACTGGGCGGCCAGCTGGCTGGGAGGCGGGGCCAGGGCCTGGAGGCGGGGCCTGGGCGGGGAGTGCGGCCTGCGTGGGTAATTAGGGCCCGTGAGGGGAGGGGAAGGTGGCCTAGGAGGTTGAATGGGGTAGGCGAGCTGGAATACAACGGGAAGTCAAAGAGTCCGCCTCTGTGGAAGGTCGGCGTTGAGGCACGGCAGTCTGTGGTGGCGATCTTGGCTCACCCGTTTTGTGAGCACCTTGGGTCCAAACGTTATGTTCTTTAAGCTTGGCACTACTTGCTGTAATTCATCTTCCCCTTTTTTGCAGTGTTCTAGGATTGCTAGGATCAGTCCTGGGTGTTCATTGGAAGGACTGATGCTGAAGCTGAAACTCCAATACTTTGGCCATCTCATGCGAAGAGTTGACTCATTCGAAAAGACCCTGATGCTGGGACGGATTGGGGGCAGGAGGAGAAGGGGGCGATGAGATGGCTGGATGGCATCACCGACTCGATGGGCATGAGTTTGAGTAAACTCCGGGAGTTGGTGATGGACAGGGCGGCCTGGCGTGCTGTGATTCATGGGATCGCAAAGACTGGGACACGACTGAGCGACTGAACTGAACTGAACTGAGGATTGCTAGAAACTCCAGTACTTTGGCCATCTGATGCGAAGAACTGACTCAAATACTTTGGCCATCTGATGCGAAGAACTGACTCATTTGAAAAGACCCTGATGCTGGGAAAGATTGAAGGCGGGAGGAGAAGGGGACGACAGAGGATGAGCTGGTTGGATGGCATCACCGACTCAATGGACATGAGTTTGAGTAAACTCCGGGAGTTGGTGATGGACGGGGAGGCCTGGCATGCTGCAGTCCATGGGGTCGCAAAGAGTTGGATGCGACTGAGCGACTGAACTGAACTGAGGATTGCAGAACTTTGTTCTAAGCCACAGCCTAGCCCTAATTCTTCCTTTACCACGTATTGGCTTTTGGCATCAATGCCTCGGGGAATTTGAGAGTTTCCGGCAGAAAGAGCCCTTACATGGCTTCTGTAATCCCTGCATTTGTAGTTGAGGAACCAGAAGCTTTGCCAGTGAAATGGTTTGTGCAAACTGTCACAGCCCAAATCTAATTGGCTCGGGCAAGAACTACTTTATTCTTGGAGGAAAAAGAACTTGCATTACGTTTTCAGCTATTAAATAGCCTTCTCTCATCATAAGATCTGCCCTCTTAGCTCTTTGATCACATCTCCTATTACTCTGCATTGCCTCACCTATTCTACTTCAGCCACATTGGCCTCTACCCTTCTTAGAACATTCCAGGATCATGCTTAGATATGCATATGGCTAACTACCTAGCTTGCCTTAAGTGTCTGCTTATCATGGCTTTCTGCAAAATTTTGAAATTGCAACCCATCTTCCCATCCTCTTTACCCTGCCCTGCTGGTTTTTTGTTTTGTTGTGTGTGTGTGTGTTTGTGTGTGTGTATGTAAGGGGCATTTATCACCTTCCCTCAGGTGATATTCCGCTCTACAAGATGTATATTGATGTTTATTTTCTTGTCTTTGTAGAATGTAAGTTCTGTAGGGCTGAAATCTTTGGGACTCATTTAGTATTTGTTGGATGAAAGAAGGCATGATCACACTAAAATTAAAAATTTTTTAAGAAAAACATTATGAAGATGTTGTACAAAGTAGAAAGAAAATGTTAGCAAGATCACTTTATTAATAATAATAAGTCCCTTAGCTCAGTATTTCTGAAAATCAGTATGAACAACCTGGGATCTTGTTAAAATGCAGATTTGGATTCAGTTGGTCAGATTCAGGTTGGGCCTTGAGAGCCGCGTTTGAAACAAAATACACAAGGAATGCCAATGGCCATAGCTCTAAGATCATACTTTGAATAGGAAGGGTTTAACTCAAATAGACTGTTTGGGGGAATATTTTATTTGTTAAGTTTATGATGTTCACCATCTTAGTCTGCTTGGGTGGTTATAACAGGATGCCACAAACTCAGTAATTTATAAACCACAGGATTATATTTCTCCTAGTCTGGAGGCCACAAGTCCAAGATCAGAATGCCAGCATGGTCAGGTTAGGGCTGCAGGACTCTCCTGAATGGCAGGCTTCTAAGTTTACTCACTTGACAGAAGAGGGAGGGATCTCTCTTTTGTAACGTGTTAATTCCATTCCTGAGGGCTCCAGCCTCATGACTCCAGCACCTCCCAAAGGCCACCTAATATCATCACCTTTGAGGGATAGAATTTCAACATGTGAATTTTGGTGGTATATAAACAGTCAGACCATAGTTCTCCCTTTATAAAAGTCACCTTCTAATCAGTGCAAGGATACAAGGATAAGTAAGAAGTCCCCTGGTGGCTCAGACAGTAAAGCGTCTGCCTGCAATGCGGGAGACCCAGGTTCAACCCCTGGGCTGGGAAGATCCCCTGGAGAAGGAAATGGCAACCCACTCCAGTACTCTTGCCTGGAAAATTCCATGGGCAGAGGAGCCTTGTAGGCTACAGTTCATGGGGTTGCAAAGAGTTGGACACCACTGAGCGGCTTCACTTCACTTCGCTTTGCTGTATAGGAGTTTATGAAGCATAACGTTCAATTCAATTGAACATAATATTCAATTCAGTTCAGTAAATATTTTTGTAGTAGCCATCAAAGGTTGAGTTACCCATGGAGTAGACTCTCCGGGGAGATAGGTGTCCAGACATGTTCTTGTGTGCTTTTGGGATTGACTCCTGTGAAAGGGAGGTGGAGGAAACAGGATTGAGCAGAGGATGATGAGCTATGATGCCATCCCTACAAAGACTTCAGCTGATCCCTTCAAGGCCTTTTAGAGGTATCTTTGAGTTGGCATGAGTGGCTGGGTCTTCAACCCCAAGATTGACTAGTCATTGAATAACAACCACGCAGAAAAAGAACATGTTTGGGGTTGCCTGTTTCTTTCAGTGAGGCATTCTCTTCAAAAAGATACATATACCCCCAGTGTTCATTGCAGCACTATTTACAATAACCAGAACATGGAAGCAACCTCAGTTCAGTTCAGTCACTCAGTCGTGTCCAACTCTTTGCAACCCCATGAACCGCAGCACACCAGGCCTCCCTGTCCATCACCAACTCCTGGAGTTTACCCAAACTCATGTCCATTGAGTCAGTGATGCCATCCAACCATCTCATCCTCTGTCATCCCCTTCTATTCCTGCCCTTAATCTTTCCCAGCATCAGGGTCTTTTCAAATGAGTCAGCTCTTCACATCAGGTGGCCAGAGTATTGGAGTTTCAGCTTCAACATAGTCATTCCAGTGAACACCCAGGACTGATCTCCTTTAGTATAGACTGGTTGGATCTCCTTGCAGTCCAAGGGACTCTCAAGAGCCTTTTCCAATATCACAGTTCCAAAGCATCAATTCTTCTGCCCTCAGTTTTCTTTATAGTCCAACTCTCATATTCATATATGACTACTGGAAAAACCATAGCCTTGATTAGATGGACCTTTGTTGACGAAGTAATGTCTCTGCTGTTTAATATGATGCCTAGGTTGGTCATAACTTTTCTTCCAAGGAGTAAGCGTCTTTTAATTTCATGGCTGCAATCACTCTCTGCAGTGATTTTGGAGCCCAGAAAAATGAAGTCTTCCACGTTTTCCACTGTTTCCCAATCTATTTGCCATGAAGTGACGGGACTGGATGCCATGATCTTTGTTTTCTGAATGCTGAGCTTTAAGCCAACTTTTCTACTCTCCTCTTTCACTTTCATAAAGGGTGGTGTTCTTCACTTTCTGCCAAAAGGGTGGTGTTGTCTGCATATCTGAGGTTATCGATATTTCTCCCAGCAATCTTGATTCCAGCTTGGGCTTCTTCCAGCCCAGCTGGAAGATGTACTCTGCATATAAGTTAAATAAGCAGGGTGACAATATACAGCCTTGACATACTCCTTTTCCTATTTGGAACCAGTCTGTTGTTCCATGTCCAGTTTTAACTGTTGCTTCCTGACCTGCGTACAGGTTTCTCTAGAAGGTGGTCTGGTATTCCCATCTCTTTCAGAATTTTCCACAGGTTAGTGTGATCCACACAGTCAAAGTCTTTGGCATAGTCAATAAAGCAGAAGGAGATATTTTTCTGGAACTCTCTTGCTTTTTCAATGGTGCCCATCAACAGATGAATGGATAAAAAAATTATGGTACATATATAGAACGGAATATTAATCATAAAATAAAACGAATTTGAGTCAGTTATAGTGAGGTGCATAAACCTAGAGGGTATTATACAATGTGAAGTAAGTCAGAAAGAGAAAAGCAAATGTTATATATTAACACATATATATGGAATCTAGAAAAATGGTACAGATGAACTTATTTTCAGGGCAAGAATAGAGAGGCAGACATAGAGAATGGACTTGTGGACACAGCAGGAGAGAAATAGTTTGAGATGAATTGAGAGAGTAACATTGACATATATACACTACCATGTGTAAAATAGGTAGCTAGTGGGAGCTGCCAGAGAGCTCAGCTTGGTGCTTAGACATGACCTAGAGGGGCGGGATGGGGGTGGGGAGGGAGTGAGATTCAGGAGGGTGGGGATATATGTGTACACTCACTTTATTGTACAACAGAAACCAACGTGACATTGTAAAGTAATTATCCTCCAATTAAAAATAAATTAAAAAGTGAGGCATTCTCCAAAGAGAGCTGGCAGCTGAGGGTGTCTGCCAGTAGCACTCCCAGCAGCAGGGCGAGAATGGTACTAAATTTCCTATTCCTGGGCAGAGCTCCGCAGTCAACACCTGCTGCAGTATCTATTTTTTGGCAGCATTATGCTAGTCACTTGGAGACTAAAGTTACTTGTTAATTCATTAAATGTTGTTGAATGCCACTGTGTATATCCAACACTGCTACACAATGAGGTGTAGACTTAAGCAAGACAGAGATGGCCT